ATAGAAATGTTATATATATCAAATACAACTTAAACAAAATCTGACATTGTAACTTTGTAACTCAAATTGGGCCTCTGATCTTTTAATAAACTCCTGCTCTTTCTGACACTCCACCTTCAGGAAGTCATGACAACACGGCTCCTCTATTTAGCCTTTATATAATTATCTTAGCAAATATTCAGTTCCACCAGATGTTTGCCAATTGCTGTTGGCTAGTCTGAAGGAGCTCAGTAATGAAGGTGGAAGGAGGGTTTCACTGTAATGCAAAAGCTTATTAGTCTGGAAACGTCCAACTCAGAGGAGGAGCTTCATCCTTTAAGGTGGAGCTAGGTCCAACCAGGCATTTTACACAACTGAGTGGTTGCCATGGGAAATAAGAGGATTTCTCAAACATTCATGAAAGAAGCAGGGCAACACCCCAGGTATGTTTTTAATGAGGGAATAACATTACAACACGATATAAAGTTAAAAAAAAGTCAGTTTTGCATAACACAGTCCCTTTCAGATTCTCCAAGAAACTGAAGACAATCATTGTTTATTTTCCTCTCAAAACCTTGACCTTGTAATTGCATCCGCTGCTTATAAAGGCAGGTTTTTTTTTATTTTGGTAAAAATGTCATCTAAAAAAAAAAAAAAAAAAAAAGCCAACATCTGTGTCCAGCTGACACGGAGCCAGATTCATAGATGTCCAGGGTTGCTCTGCAGCCAAGCTAGCCTCGGCTCAACACCTGGCCGGCCAGTTCCAGCCAGCTCCAGCTACTTAATCCCTTTTTATAGAGACAGCCGGGTAAATTATTCACCGCTTCAATGAAAATTCCTTCAATATTCATAAGCTCTCCTCTCCATATCCACAAAGGGAGTTTGTACGTGTTTGGATGGGTGCGTATACGGTTTGTTTATCCTCAGAAACCCTCACTCAACCCTGACGTCATGCCAAACCGACTGCTGCTGCTGCCTGTGTGTGTGTGTGTGTGTGTGTGTGTGTGTGTGTGTGTGTGTATCCTCCTGGTTCAATGGCGTGAAGCAGCCACTTCGGTATAAAACATAAAAAAATGGGGGGCTTGGATGTCAGTGGAATTATCTTGGATTGTCTGCTCTGAACAACACAGCCTGACCATTTCTGTTTCTCCCTTTTCTAGTTCTTTCTTCTCTTTTTTTGCTGCATAACAAGAGATGAGTGCACCGTGGATATTTCCCCTCAAACCCCCAACAGTGAAAGGAGCAATGCAGTGTGTTGTCATTTATGTAAGCAGTTAGCCAGATATGGTTACAGCCCTTTGAGCACGCCTTGGAAAATAAATCACGGCCGTTGGATTAAGCAGGAGCAGAGGGTTGCTGCTGGAATCGTGCTGACAGAGAAATTCATTCACTTCCAAAAAATCTATCTGTGCAAATACTGATGTCAGCATCAAACCAAGAGAGAGTAGGGTTTTGTCTCCTGCCGCCTGCCCCTTCCCCGCCCTACCCCCGCGTCTTCGTTCTGTTTACCACACACATGACTCAGTGACCTTTGCGGAGATAATTCCGTTACGTAAGCCGGGTAATTGTTGTAGCTTCGGAGCGTCCAAGTGGCCCAAAGCTTTGATGGCCTCGCAGTTAAAAACAAAAACTCGGTGGCATTAATGAAACCCGTCATAAAGAGGAGGGGAAAAGGAGGCAGAAACGAGCACGACACTGTGCCAGAGCCAAAATGGGATAGATTGTTTCATTGCGGCAACGCCAAAAAATAGCCCACCGTTTGCTGCAGAGATCACAGCGAATACTATCTGCATTTCAGCGAGGTGTGTGAGAACAAACTGGGGGTGAATATATGATATTCCCCTGCTGAGGTGCTTTTTACATTCCCTGCAAGCCACAAAGGCTCAACCGCTCAAACCGATCAAACTTGGAGCTGCGTAACTGGCAGAAGAGTTCACTTTCCCTTTAACCAAGTTCCTTTCGTTGTGGACAATGTCGGAGTCAGAAAGGGAGACAATTACTGATATTTGCTGCCAGCCATCAGAGGCAGAAAGGCCGAGAGATACAGAGGCAGAAGCTCCATTTCCACATCGTTAATTAGAAACTCTCCCTCAGCACTGTCCTCGCCGAATGAAAGAAGTCACACAGTCGCACGGAGCACACACACCTATATTTTTTCCCCTTTTTTTAATCAAGTCACTTCAACCGAGCAGTAAAACTGTTGGCAATAAGGCCGACATTGAAGTTTGCATCACTCAGGAAATTGCTATTTTTTTTAAGTGATCATCAAGTGTAGTTGTTGAAAAGGCAGTTGGTTTATATAGAGGGAATGGAGGGATGAGAAGAGGAGGGGTGTAAAACAATGAGGGAGCAACAAGAGGCAAAAGCAGGAGAAGAACTGGGAAGCTGATTTCATGCTTGGGGAATTGCATCTCATTTTCTCCCAGCACGGACCCACAGTGTGTGGTCTTGCTTGTGCCTTTACTGCCATCTGGTGTTGAAAGAAAAGTACTGCAAGTACAGAGCAGAGCCGGCTAAGGAGGTTTGGTTGAATCCAGGGTAGCTCAGCTACAGCATACATGAGGTTTATGTTAAATGCAAACCCTTTCTATACTGTCCGTTTCTATGAACAAAAAAGTGGAAAGTAAGATGCATAGTTGCAATGCCATTAAGAGGGAAAACAAGCAGGTCTCAGCTTCTGCATGTCAAGAAGAGTTATGTCTGTTTGTGTAGATCTCAAATCAATGAAACTGCTTTCTATGCCATCACTTACTGCACTGGTACATGGATTAATGGAGGCTTCACCAGTAATTAACATTCTGCTCCAAACACCATGTTAGAGCTACAGTCACTTACTCTGCCTGTGTGGAAGTCCAATAAAAACAACATCGGATAAAGAGGGTAAAGTGACAATAAACAGAAAGAGGGAGAGAGAGAGAGAAAGAAAAAAAAAATATTTAAGCGATATAAAGTCGCACCCAGCAGCCGGCTCTGACACAAGAAAGGTCTGGATGATTAGCGGACGCCGGCGCTCGCAGACAGCAGCTCCGCTAACAGCCTCTACCACCTCATTAGTTGGGGCCCGGCAGCACTGTGCCCCCTCTATTAAACGCTAAATGAAAGACCGCCAAGCGTGATTACCGAGGGGGAGTCCCCAGTCGTCATGGGGATAAGAGATCCCAGCTCACCCACACACACACACACATGCACACACTTTTACATCTCCTGTGATAGACATTTAGTAGAAGATGGCTGAGCATCATCAAACACAGAATGCCACTCTGAAATGTGAAGCTTAGAGGCTTGACACCTTAGGAAACAGAAATACGAGACATTTTCTTTTAAATATGAAAAAATATCGCAAATGAGACCAATAAGTGTAAGTGAGCCAGCCTTGGAGCAGGTTATGGAGATGAAAACGTGGCTCTTACCGCTGAGGAATGCTGAGCCCCACAAGGGATATTGGAGGGGGTGGAAGTCAAATGTACATTTGCTTGTTCTCTCAAAAGTTTTGTAGGATCCTGCAGGAGTTCCTAGCATCTGGGGAAGCGCATTGTGTAGAAGTAGAGCAGCTTCCACATATTAGTTGTCGTTTGGGGTTTGATTCCCTATCAAGGGTCCTTTGTTGCATGTCTTCCCCCATTTTATCTCTGCCCACTTCCTGTCTAATCTACCCATCTCAGCCACAAGCACCAGAAAAACCTGCATCCAGCTGCAGATACAGTTAACCTCAACCAGTGACCGTTTGTGTATGTTTGGATAACTTAGCTGTTTAAATGATTCTAGAGATGCGAAACTCCCCCTTGAACTTTCCAGTAATGGTGGTCTTGTGCTTCTGACAGAGAATCGTCAAATAATAATTTGCTGCAAAATTTGACAGAAAATTGCAACTTTGCGGTCAAAGCTGCAATTTTTTTAAGCTTTATTGTTGCCATAATGTGGTTTTACATAAAAGTTGAAATTGCTACACTCAACTTGCACGGCTTGTTTGGAAGAAAACTCAGTATAGTTTCTTTTGCCTTTTGACTCAGGCCAGTTCAGTTCGGCTCAGCAGCAGGTCTCCCTTTTGGTGCAACACAGCATGCGTATGCTTGTGGTGTGTTTAAAGACAGCTCAGAAAAGCACAATAATGCATCTAAATAACCGGTTAGACAGTTTTAATGGAAGAAAAAACAGCAGGGAACAGAAGAGGCGAGGGCTTATCCTACAGCATGTCTCCAAATAGTAACCACATATACATATCTGGCTTTCAACAGACATGAAAAAGGAGGTTCAATTAAAAAGAGGGATAAGAGGATTGGCCAAAACTCAGCCGAGTTGCAGTGATTGAAAAAGAAAAGAAAAGAAAAAAAGAAAAAAAAAAGAAAAGAAAAGAAAAGACTGAAAAGAAACAGAAAAAATCTAAGATTTATGGAAAAGTTTAGAGGATTAGCAAAAATCGCAAGTCCGTGCAAAATTTGCAAATGATGGCTAATTTTGCTCTAACCGCAACTTCCTGAAGGGATATCACAAATCTTTTGTGAGATTTTTCCAAATTAGTCTGCTTTAGTGCTCCAAAATATGATGGGATTGTGCAAAAGTTACCAATCTATCTCTGGACATAATTTGGGATAGATAGAAAAACTTTTGGGAGATTTTTCCTGACCCTCTTTCACAGTGTCTCTTGCAGGGCTCAGTAGCAGACATCATAAACCCTGCTCAGCAGTTATTAAATGTAGTAGGTACCTGCATGCAAGCCTGTGTGTTGCACTATGAATAACTTTATAAAATTACTAATTTGATCTACTCGGAGTGTTTACTGATTAATCCTCCCATGGAAAAAAGAGATGGAGTCATGTGAACCCCACAAGTTTTTTACTTGTGTGCTTTCATGAGATTTTTTTTTTTTTTATGTGTGTGGTTTCGGGAACTGACAGTCTGATGGGACACCTCCTGGGCTTCCCCATGGCCTGACCGTGACATTTGCCACGCTCCTCCTGAGAGTTGCGCTAAGACCGCGGGAGGGTTAATAAGTGAAGCATTAGTCGTCTTGCCAAAGGTATTCTCTGCAAAAGAAACTAAAAGCTGAACCGGGAGAGCGAACAGTACTCACGGTCGTTGCAGTGGGTGCCTGTGTACGATGTCATGGAGCAGTCGCAGGTGAAGTTCTCCCACTGCTGGATGCACACACCCATGTTGGCGCACGAGTCATCCTGGCAGGTGGTACTCGGGCCTAGAGAGGAGAGAGACAAAGAGAGAGGAAAAAAAAACAGATACCACCGGTGTGCAGTCAGGCAATGGTGAAGGCAGCTATTGAGCCTAAAGAGAGAAGGACCCATGCAGAAGATATGCACTCTAGAGAGACAGATTTGCACTACTCAGGAGGAGCTGACAGTGACGCCACAGGAAGCCTGACCCGAGTACAGATCGGTTAAAGGCTGTCTCAGGAATCACGCCTCATGCCAGGCGAAGCTGCAGCCGGGCTGGCACCTCAGTGTAAAGGCGCCAGGTTGCTCCGCAGCATGGTCTTTAAGCAGAACGAGCCGGAGCATACACTGCGATGTAATTATAGTGAATCCTGACTGAGAGCGAGCAAAAAGGGTTACACTGAAGAGTTGCTGCTGCAGACGGGTCAGCCAGCTGATGTGATGACACTGTCAACGTCCTCCAGTTTCATTCTCTTTTTCTTTTAAAAACAGCAAGTGAGCCAGAGACCCTTGCATGCAACGTTTTCAACATTCCAACATGGTCCGGGAAAGTTTTATCGGAGTAAAACTTCTAAACGCTGCATTCCCTCTGCGAACAAGCAAGACAAGACTCGAACAGGTAAAAAAAAAAAAAAAAAAAGTTACCATATAAAAAAAAGCCCTGCCAAAGACGAGGCGTTGGTTACATTTCTAAACATCAGTGTCAGAGTACAAGATGAACACCAGATCCACTAGACAGACAGAAGTCATGAGGAGAAAAGAAACAAATATGAAGCACTTTATAACACATGGCACATATCTGAAAGTATGCACCAGAGCCAGACGAGAGTCGAGTAGGGTATTCAAAGTCAAACTGGATGTGTGTTTGCTATTCCTCACACCACACATAGCTCTCACTTTTGAATACTTCTATAGAGAGAGGGAATGCAGATAAGGACAAGTGCACTGCATAGATAACGAGATAAACAATCCGGCATTAAGAGTCTGCACAGTCAAAGGAAAAGAAACCTCGACAGTAATCCCCTTTAATAACCAGAGACAGCAGGAAACAAGCTCAAGTAAATAAAACAAACTACAGATAAAGAAATAAATAAACAAGAGACAAATGCAAGTAAACTTCGTTTAAGAGCAGTTGTCTTGTGCAAGACGACGTGAAGAGAAGAAGAGGACATTTTAAGAGGAAAAAAAAAATATAGACAGAGCAAGTTCGCCAGCTGAAAGTGCATTTACTGTGTAATGTACTGTAATGGTAGTCAACCAGGCGTCCTGAGAGCTGTGCACATGTATGAACAGTGGTCATATCAAGGCAAATGGAATGTGTGCGTTCCAGTGTTGGAGGAGGAGACTCGCTCTCTTGAAAAAAAAAAAAAAAGTATCCAAACAGGAGATGTGAGGGATTTTTAAAGTCAGACGCTCGATGCTGCAGCGGCACAGTGACGGTTCTGATCTGCAGCCGCAGCCTCTGTAGCGTCACAGCGTGGTTTTTTGGCTGCGTGCCACTGTCTCAAGCCCACTTATTCCTACCCTTTAATTACAAAGTTGATTCTGCAATTTCAGCAGCTTTCTAACAGAAGTGGACATTTTGTCTGGTCATGCAGAATAAACCAGACACAAACTGATGGATTAATATGTGACTGCAGTGGCAAAAGTATTCAAACTCTTTGAGCTTTTTCGCATGTTTGTCACAACATAAATGCATATTTTACATTCCTTATGGAACCTTTCACTGCTATTAAAGCTGGAAAATATTTTGTCCCTTTTGTCCCTAACAGCTGTGGATATATTGAGTCATATTCTTGCCACTTTTTCTTTGTAAATTCACTTCCACCAGAAAATCAAGTTTTAAATATTGTCCTGGACTTGGACTAGGTCATTCTAACACACAAATAGGCGCTGAATTAAATCATCCCATCATAGCTGTGGCTGGATTTTTGTGGTCGTCTTGCAGGAAGATGAACTTGGCCAGTCTGCAGCAGGTTTTACTCCAGATTTGGCCTGTATGCATCTCCGTCCAGCTTTCCTCTTCTATCTTAAAAAGAGCATATCACAGCAAGATGCAGCAGCTTTATGCATTTAGGTCAAAAAGTTTAATTTTAGCCTAAATGAACCACAGGCAACTTCTAAAGTGAATTGTTACGCAGGATTTTATTTGGAGTCATCAGAGTAAATGAGGATGTATACGTTTGCCAGCCACAGTTAAAAAGCTTGTATCTTTTTACTACTGTGCATATGTATTACTTTAATTTGCTTTATTATATAAAATCTGAATAAAATACATTAAGATGGCCGCAACATAACGTGTGTAAAAGTTCCAGAGGTCTGAATACTTTTTCAAGGTGCTGCAAACTTTAATTTAGCAATCAGTTGTTTTTTTTTTTTTCCTGCCATTTCTTTTCCATCCGTTGCTTATTTATATTTTTCCAGATCAGAGAGCGAGTTCCCCCTGCTGCAGCACCTGGAAGACGTTATTGCCATGGTGACACCCACGATGCATTGCACACAGCAACCTTTCAGGTGAGCTGGCCTTCGAGAGGCGGAGTTGAACCCTCTACCTTGCAGGTCGGCTTTGGTGAAACCAACTTTGTTGGCGCAGAAAGAAAAAAAAACAAAACAGAACAGAGCAGAGCAGGAAACAAGAGCAAAGGATTAGTGAGGCAGAGGCATCGTTAGTGGTCAGAAAACTTGTTTACGCTTGTCCCTCAGACAACATGGGAAACCTTGCAGAATGGGAGAGGAGCTTCACTGTTAGATGTGAAAATGTGTGTGCATCTCTGAATGCAAGCTCTTCTGACCTTATGAAAATCTTCTACTGCCCTCTAGAGAAAATAGAAGGAACTACAGCCACCAAATACTCTGGTAGAGGATGCAGTTGTAGAAAGTTTACAGATATTTACTGGGAAGATAAACGTCATGTTGCATCCAAATCATTTTCTGGGTTGCATGACAACTTTCAAGAATTTTAAGGTAAGAATTTTACTTTGAATTCAGGTTTAAAATTCTCCACATTTAAACAGTCTGAATTCTTAATATTTGGTTAAACATTTCTTATGAAGATAAAGGAAACAACATGTTTTATAGTCATGGGCAAGGTCCTGGCAATATTCTGGTTGGATATTTGATCACAGATCATCCTTATCATAATGAATAAAAAGCTTAATTTTTGTCCCAACTGGCTGTAAACTTAACCATCTAACAATGTTTTACCAGCATTTTACTGAGAACTAGCTCCTATAATGAGCTTAGTAGATGCACAGTTTCACCAGGTGTTTGCCAATTACTACTGTCTAGTCTGAAGGAGCTGAGTGGGGGAGTTGTTGAGGTGGAAGCTCGGGTTAGACTGCAGCTACGGGGACTAGTTTCGTCGAAAAGGCATCTCTCTGTTACATAACCCAGAATGGTTGCCACGGGAGATTAAATGATTACTTAAATATCCATAAAAGTATCAAAGCAGCTTTTTGGTTATGGAATGACATTATAACATGATATAAATCTCAAAGTCGATTCCATAATCCTGCCCCTTTAAGCTTGAGCCTTGATGGTTTCTGGGCCGTTTCTGAACATCCTGACCAATTTTTCTTCCATCTGATTGTCAGACGGTTGTAGTCTGGATATCACTGGGTGTTTCAGCAGGACAGTTATCCTAAACACATCTATATGGTTAAAGCAGACGAACATTAAGCTTCCAAAACTACAACTACCTATCCTCGATTTAAAATGCATGACCTAAAAGTTGAGTCTGTGCTGGGAAACTAGAGGATTAGGGAGTTGTCAAATACCCAGCAAGAATTTTGCCTGGATGTTGTTGACAGCTATCAAAAAAAAGAAAAACCACCACATTACACATTTTGTACCTTCGCAGCCACGCTCTACATGGCCGCTGCGGAACAGGGCATCGTTGATGAGGTCTGGCAGGCGCCCGTTGAGATCTACGGATGCCAAGCAGCCCTGGAAGCCCTCCCGGGAAACCACCAGCTTAGGGAGGTTCTGATACATGTTGGGTCCCAAACCTCCAACAAACAGGTCACCTGACGGGACACAAAATGGAACCAAGTGATTAACTTTTCACATTCTGGATGGTCACCAAGGAAAGGGATAGGAGACACGGTTTCTCCATGTTGTACCTTTAAGGTCGAGGTTTTTGGCCCCATTGACATTCTGCGTGACCGACTTGGTGTCGACTTTGAGAGTGTGCGTGTTGGAGGTGTCACGCGTGATGACCACGTTGTGCCACTGGTTGTCGTTCAGCGGGTTGTCGCTGTTTCCCTTTAGCAGGCTGGGCCCGTTCCCCAGGTCGAACACATAGTGGATGAACCTGGCAGGAGAGAGGAGGCAGCAGATGGGCTGAAAATGAGTGGAAAAGCAGCCAAGCTTTGAAAGGACTTCAGAAAGTCTGCACAACTACTGATCAAGGCCACTTTGAGAAAGTACAAGGAGTTCTGGCTCTCTGGACGTAAAATACAAAGAAATCAGGGATTATCCTCTGAGATCGACAGTGCCTTGCGAGCGTATTTAACTTTTTGAAAATTTTTTAGGTTACAAACAACTTCAATGTATTTTATTCCCAATCCGTGTCATAGATCAACAAGATGTAGCTCAAGATTGTAAAGTGAAAAAACATAATTTGAAACTTTATTTTTACTGATAAAAATCTGAAAAGGGGTATGCATGGTTACCATTTCATGTCATAGGTTTAAAGAAAATCCTTTGCAACCAATTGCCTTGGGAAGTAAATCTTTGAAGACTTTAGAGGTTTGTCAGAGAACATTAGAGAACAAACAGCAACATGAAGACCAATGAGCACAACAGACACAGAGAGAGTTTTGTTGAAGTTTAAATTAGAGTTTGGTTATTAAAACAATATCCAAACTTTAAACGTGTCACAGGGCTTCTATCAATCCTTCATCTCAGAATGGATTGAGCATAAATGCAAACCTAGAAAGACAATGGCCATTCCCCTAAACCGATGAACTTTGCATTCATCAGAGAGGTAGAGAAGTGACAAAGATTCACAGATCATGTAGTAAATGATCCAGAATGTGGGCCTTTACAGAAAAATGTTAAGTCATTCTTGATACAAAGTCCTGTTTAAAGTTGACCACAAGTCCTACAGGAGGAACAGCAGATGTGGAAGGAGGAGGTCTGGTCAGGTGAGACCAAAAGTTTCCTTTGTGGCCTAAATGTAAAACGATATCAGAGGAAACTCAGCACTGCACATCACCCAGACCATACCATCCCACTGCAAAAACATGCTTAGTAACAGTGAAGTGTAACACAGTTGATGAAAAGATGGATGGAAGTAAAGGACAATTCTAGAAGAACACCTGTTCCAGCATAACTCCCTTCATTCATTTCGTATGGAAGTTGGTGCGATATTTGTGCATGTGAAATTTCGCGCTTGAGTACGTAGAGATGCACATGCGGGTTTACGATGCGACACCAAATAATGTAAAATTGTTCAACATCACAGTAAAGACAAACTCCAATCTCCAAGAATCAGAATTATAAAGGATGTTAAAGAACAAGAATCCTTTGTTCTTAATCCATCACATTATCCAATTAAAAAGATTGATGTCTGTAGTTTTAAAGACAATTTTTGCAAGTCTCTGTAGGCTTGCACATTTTTAATAACCTCCCATTTTAATGCTTGGTTATTAGTGAAACTAATGTAAAAAAAATTAAGAACTAGTTCTTTGTAGTTGGTTGATATCTAGACGTTTCAACATTTGAAATTCAGGATGAAAGATCTGACCAACCCTGTCAAATTTCAACTGACTCCACCAACAACTATGAACAGTTTTTTTTTTTTAAATCAGTTTATCATTTCTGTACTGTTGCTTCTGGATAAACTTTCCATCCCACTCACCCTTTGACCAGCTCCACGGCGATAAAGTCATTCCCATCTCCGCTGTTGAAGAGGATGAAGCCGTCGGGTGAGGTGGTTTTGAACTGGAAGAACAGGTGCATGGTGGTGTATGCCTGCAGGGTGGCCAAGCCCAGGTAGCTGCCTTTGGTCTTGAAAGTGACGGGATCGGCGACGATGAAGCGCATGCCGAAGCGGGCGTTGAGCTCGCAGAAGTCGATGTCGCCGTTCTTGCACATGTCGATGTACTGCATGCCGTTGAACTTGAGGCTCTGGGGAGAGGTCGGTCCGAATTTTCAATAAAGGAGAAGGGTTCAAGTACAACGAGGGACAAAAAAGAAAAACTGATCGAAAAATGTTTTACTCTTATTACCTGTAGGTGGCCAATAAAAGGGGACGGCGATGATGAAACGAAACGTTTCTCAGTCAAGATGCCCGTTTCCACGTTGCTGAACTCCAGGCGGGTGTGGTCACCTGCCATCTGACCTGAAGGGCGGCGAAAGAGAGAAACTGGGTAAGAGTCAACTGTGGGAGAAAAAGATGACATACTGCTAGCAACCCTTTATCTGTTCGATCTATATCTATAGATAAAGAGTTCTGAAGAACATTTTTTGTAAACTTTATGTGGAAAAAAAAACAAACATAAAAATCCAACCAATTAATTAGTAAATAAGCTTTACTGAACTAAGTCAGTCATTTTTCTGCTGTTCTTATAGGATTTTATCAACAAGATGCAGAAGAAAAAGGAAATGAACCTTCAAATAAACATACAGCGCCCTCCAGTTTTAAGGGCATCTTGTAAAGATATGTAAAAAAAAAAAAAAAGCCTACAAGTTAAGAGTCCAAAAAATGTTTGAATTTAAACACCTGCAAATTTTACAAACCAGGGTGGATGAAGATCCCAGTTTGTTTTGCCAAAAAGCAAAGCAAGACAGATGTCAACTGGGATAAGAAAAAAAATCTTCAAGTTGACTGTTAGATCTTGACATCACCTGGTTTTTGTTTAAACTTCAAGGTCACTTTGCAGCAGTGTTGCAATATTGAACAATTTTATTCATTACTACTTATTCTAAAGGTTTAAGAGATTTTTTTTTCTTCCTTTTGCCATTTTCTAGTTTATTCTGATTTCACAGAATACCTGTCTTTTTAAAAGTCCACTGACGAATAAAAGTAGATTTTCTGCTTTGTTTTATTTGGTTTGATGGCACAACGTGAGGCACAAGAACCACAAAGGCCAGCTCATAGGTGGAAATGCCTTTGAAGGAGGAATTTGATTAAAATATGCAAATAAATAAGACAAAAAAATTGAGAAAAAAAGAAATGATCTTACTGATCTTTTATCAGAGGTACGCGGGTGTGAAAGTTTGTTTATTGGGTAAGTTCAATGTGGGGAGAAAATGATTAACAAAAGGAACTACAAAAGCTAACAATGGCATGCTGTTCTACAGGTGACAAATAAAAGCTAATGTTAGTTTCACTGATTTTACAAAATAAGTCTGGCTTGTACCTTTAAGTTAGTCATCCCATCATTTTTATTTTTTCCACAATCACCATATGACAATATAGTGCACACATCTGTTATTTAGGCTGTTGGTTAAGAGTGGCCCTTGACATAAACCATAAACCCAATTTATCATTTTCTTACAGTTTCTCGCTCATTTCCCTGAGTGAGATTATACTGCTGATGTCTAACTTCATAAGTTATTCAACGTTTCACTCCTCTATATTTTAACACTATTGTAAACCACAACATGCAGTAAGCAAACGAGAAGTGTAGAGTTCAAAATGTGGGGAAAAAAGTAGTGGCTTATAGTCCGAAAAATATGGTATTCATATAATACATAATCAAACAAACCACACACAGAGACGTGCATATCAGGAACAGCATGAGAAACGTCAATACCTTCGGCCATGTCGTCGTCCACAATGAGTTTGAAGTTTTTACCGCGGCGGACCACTCGCACCGAGTGCCACTCATTGTCGTTGAGCTTTTGTCCGGCATAAAGAACCTCAGGGCCCTTGCCTGAAGATGAGGGTCAGTTAGTGGAGGGACGGGGAAGGCACAAGCAAAAGCAAAACCAAATCTTTGTTTGTTTAACATATGAAGCACAGATCACTCACTAGTAGAGCACTCTGGCTTTCAGGGTCTAAGATTTTTTTTTTCCTTCTAAACACATCCAGTGCTCTTCCTACTTTAGATTTCGACGGTAGGCATAAAACAAAGATTTGGTTTTGTTTTTGACAACAACGGAAACACAATATTTGATGTTACTCACACAAACACTCAACTAGAAAAATTCTAACAATTATTTTTTGCTTTTATCCTTTATACTAGCATTTTCCAAAGTTATGCCTTTCATTGTGTGTAGTGATAACTCTTATTGCCACTAGGGGGCAATGCAGCTCCATCTAGTTTCTTACAGAAGCCGCTTTGGCATTTTTCCTCAGATTATTGGATGTGATGCATTAAAATGAAACCAGTTCTTAAATCTTTATAAGCAATGATGGCAAGAGAGATTCCTTCACCAGAATTTAAGACTTTAATTTGCTTTGTGAAATTATGCACTTCATTGTTGTTGTCTGCGGGTTCAAAGTGGTGTTTATTATGGACATGGTACTGAAAAACCAAACTGCTTGCTTCTATCTGTGCCATTAACAATGATCAGAATTGAGAGTTCTAGTGAGAGTTCACACACTCGTAACGTCATACTCATCTGGGAGTTTTAAAGCTGTGTAGGAATCTGTGTTCTGTCTGTGTTCCAGGTTGGAGTGACAAAACTAAATGTAGTGTTGGATGGACATAGTGGATTCTTTTGAATTAGCAACGGTCAATATATACCTGATATTATTTGGATAAGTGTCTCATAGCTATTTGTAGGGAGGCAACTCACTTTTTGTTAGCATGGTTATAAATTATGTTAGAAACTCATTTAAATTGTTGGATTTCTTGGCATGGACCTAAACTTTAACCCCACTAGTGTTGAGGTTGGAGCCTTTCCAGAAACTTTAACCATATATTTAATGAGTTGAGGTGAAATTGAAGAATTTTAAGGTCGTCCTACTTCACCATTTTATCCTTTTCACAAATATCACTTGTCACAACAAGGTCCGACAGCACTATGCTTGAAAATTGGAAAGGCGTTCTTAGGTTTGTAAAAAAGCATTGTTTGGTACTGTAGCTAAATACTTCTATCTTTGTTTAGTCTAACAGTTTAAAGTATTTTCTACTAGGCATTTGAATTGTCTCAGAGTAGCTGCAAACTTTAGTCGACCTTCAAGTTGTTGAAGGTACTTCGTTGTTGGTAAACACGCTCTTAAATCACATGTGTCCATCTCCAGTTATCAAAGGGTCGGCGTTCTACCAGTTTAAGATGAGTCTGTGAGCCAACAAGGCGAGTTTAAATAGTCCAACTATCTCCTCAGCATGTCTGTAAAGTTTTGCTAATGACCCATCGTTTGATTCCAGTGTGTTAAACTAGAGAAAAAACTAAAACATGCAGGGTACCGGCCACTGAAGACAGAGTTTGGACGCCCCCTAGTGCTTTAAGTCTATGGCGACATAAACATGTCTCCACTACATTGACGCTGGCAGTGGCTTTCCAGCTGTTTGGAGTTAATGATAGGCTTCAACATTGATGCGGCTTTGTTGTTCTGAATGTTTGAACTACGGCAGGCCGGTTGGGTCAGACGGTTAAAACGTAGAGGCTTTTGGCTGTTTCAACAGGACACTTGGTTTAGAAAGGCTAAAGTAGACAAACATTAATCTTCTAGACCCACCCTGACAACTGCACTAAAAAATTGTAAAGTATGTCTGATCGTGAAGTCCGTGTAAGAAAGTCAAACAATTTTAAGTAACTGTAATTTTTGAGAAGAAAAATGGTCAAAATGGTGTGAAACACTGTGTTGGGTTAGTGTTGGGTTTTGTGTACCTTATAATTTATATGTGTAAATTTTCCTTTGTGTGGATTAATAAGAGAAAGGCCATGAGAAATTCAAATGGTTGCTCATAATCACTGAAGTTGTATGCTATGTGGTCATTAGGACCCTGAAATGTGAACTGCAGAAATAAACCATTAAAAGCTCAAAGTAGGTGACATTCATGTCATTGGTGAGTGGATTACATGCACATCCATATAAACAAGCTGTTGTCTCAATGAAAACTCTCCTGAATGCCCTCGCTTCTGTTCAATTTTTCTCTGTATCATTACAAGGCTGGTGAGTAAGAAGAAAAAAACAAACGCTCCTTTTTCTGAGTAAGAACAGGTCATAAAGCACCATCCGCATCAGTATGTTGATTTAAATACTACAGCATGGATTAACACTATATAAGTACAGGACACTTCACTGCAATATGTGAGTAAATATAAAACCAATATTCCCTACAAAGGCTGAGAGTGCAGATGTTCAGTTAGTCGCTACAGGCATACAGGAAAAAATGATTCAGAGCTAGCTGCTTGACTTAATTTGAAAATGGGTCATTTAAAATATAGAAAGTATATTAAGCCTGATTTGCATGACTTTGATCTCTGGCTATTCCTCATTTCCCCCCCACTTTTATCTAAGAAATCCTCTTATCAGCTCCCAATGCGTCCCCCCCTCCCCACCCGCCTACCCTCTGCATTCACATATTCCTGCCTCCACACCTAGCACACAGACCACAATCAAATATTGACGGAAGGAGAAAAGGCTGCAGAAGAAGAATGTTGACTTACTGGTGTTACAGTTTATCCTGACACAGTCTAGATGGGGAGGGGAGAACAAGTGACAGATGAAATCGCATCCTTCAAGGTTACAGCTGCAGACATCCAAAAGCAAGTAAAGCCACCTTCCGGGGACGGACACATGACGCCAGCGGCCATTCCCCCCCCCGCCCTGCCCCAAGTCAATTTGCATCTGACATAGCTCAGGTCAAAGCAATGAATCTGTCCAGAGCCGGCCAAAGATTTTACAAGGCCTTTAGCTGAACTTTTAACGGGGGGCCATTTTTGGTTAACCTATTAGCCAAAAGTTAATCACAGAATAGGTTTTTATTTGTTAGTTTTGATAAATTATTGCTGTGAATACATTTTGGATAAAAGTTTATTTTTCTGACTTTAGGGTTGCACACCTTTTTAGTACATTACTGGAGTCTTAACTATATCTTACCTTCAGTTATTATGTAAAGAACAAATGTCATTATTATTGTTTTTATATGAAATATTTTGATTTGGTAAACCATACATTTGTTATTAATAGTTAGGCATACTGTAGTAGTTGTAACATTTTAAAAATAGATTGTCAGGGTGTAGAGTTGTAGCCTGTTCAGAAGGCCAAACATGAACTTAGATGAATGAGAACAAGATTCAATGTTAGCAATGCTTTAGGAAAACTAGCCCAATTTTCTATCTTTGCACAAAAATATTAAAGGTCTCATGAATTTAAAAAATGTGTTTTAAAAAAGTATAAAGCCAGCGTTGAATAATTTAGGTTAGGTTTAGATAATTCATAGTCATTTTTTTGTCCAAATTACAAGGGGATTCTAAATCTCTAAAATTGATAGAAAAAATTCTCCCTTTTTGCATTTTCAACAACATAGCAAAGGTTTCATACATCCATTCATTCACAGTTTAGAAGGGATATCTGCTGAGTGCAGAACTGACTGCCAAGTAACTTTCATCCAGAGGTGCAGAACCGCTCAAAATGATACATTTTAAAACTTCTTGGGGCCTTTTTAGATTATTACATAACCAGGTGATGGCAGCTTGTCCATTGTGGATTATTATTAGTAGATTACATCATACAGCTGGGCAGCAACTGAAGAGCTACTTCCTGTCTTACTTCAAAAAAAGAACACAGACACAGGATGTTAAGTTTAGAGCTCTTACCTTTATGTGGGCCTCGTGATAATAGTTTCAGAAGAAATATCTTATTGTTGTAATATCACAAGACCTGATGCCATTAGATCTTGTTACATGTCTAAATATTGTTTGGTTTAAACAACACACTGCAGTCTTTACATCAGGAGGATGGATTAGGAATAAAATTTATCTGGTATAAAGATTATTAAACTGGTAGCATCAAATTATAACTGTTAGCACAACTTCCAAATCTAGACTTAATTTTCAAAGAATTTTAAAGTTTTTTTAAACATTATATTAAGAAAGCTTTAAATTCAAAAGAAAGTATTTTTATTGATCTTATGGTTTCCAAGTAGCAGCTCAGCTTGCTTATATTCTGGGTCGGCTCTGACATTACCCAACATTACTCTACCTGTACTATATCAGATGACTGTTTTTGTATAATTAAGTACTTTTTTCTTGTTTGTGTGGATTTCAAAATGGTCACAGGCTGTTTTAAGACCACATTGATTTTGCAACCCAGCTTCTGGAGCCCAAAGAGTTTGACTCATTCTCAGTGTCACTTTAAAGATACAGTCCTACTTGGTAAAAGCCAGTTCTAACAATCAGAGTGGTGGGTTCGTCAGGACGTGGGCTGAAACCAATGTGACCGTGTTGTGTTCATGTGCCGTCAACCGCAACAGAAAAGTGGGAGCAAACAGCCACGCGCCACATAGCACCAACACCGCACTGAGGCCTAAAGACACCCATGAAAGGCATCTGGTGTTATCTACTGCTACCTATAGCTAAACTAGCTTAATTACTAACTTATTCAGAGTTTTGTTTGTTTTTCATTGTAGAAGCTTATGGGATGAATCAGACTCTTGTTATCTGTTTCATGGTAGTCACTCCAGGCTAGATGCTATGTCCTGCTGCTGCTGCCATGTGCGGGCGTGCTGGCCGCTGTGGCTTCGGGCTGTTTGCCAGATGGGCCGCAGGCTCTGGGCCTTTGAAGGGATGAGTGCCATCTTTGAACAAGGCCTAGGAGATGCCAACTAGACCAACAGTGGACCTTCTAACATGAGGGAAAAGAAAATAAAGAAAATAAATAAATAAATGGTGAAAAAGACCACAGGAAATGGAGCGCCAAGATAAAAAAGGCTAACTAAGCTGGTTCTGAATAGACAGCAAAACAACCATCTACATGCTGCTGATTGGACTACTGTGTTAGGGGTGAGACTGTGTGAAATAATAAGAAAGATATGAAACTACTTTGACTAAATGATCTATGATATGTTCAAAAGATGCGCGGCAGAGCATGACTAACTTTGTTAAGTGTTAGATCAATGCACATTTTTTTTTTCTTTTTACAAAGACATCAAAGCATCCAGGCAGAAGAACTTACACTTCAGGCAAGTCGAAAACATTAACATGCAACTACAAGGACAGACTACAGATCTGGTTTAGTACATGTTAGATCAGATTTTTTTTTAAAAAAAGTAAAAAAATAATAGTAAAAAAAAAAAAAAACGATTAAAAAAATAAGAAAAGAGCGCAGGCTCCTGCCTGAGCCAGAAGAGACGGTTTATACGATACCTAGGTTGACCGTCAGTTTGACCCTCCCGCTGTCCAGCTCGAGCCGCAGAGTGTCCGCTGACTCGCGGGACGTGGCGGCCATGAGCAGGCCGAAGGCCCGCTGGGACATGAAGCGCAGGGAGACGTCCTCGGCCTCTGTGTGCATGATGTTCGGGATCACCACTTTCATGTACATGCTGCCGTCATAAGACAAGATGGAAGCCTCTGTGAAGACAAAGAGAGAAAGAGAAAAATGTGGCATTTATATTTTACTACACTGCAAAAACACAAAGTCTTACCTAGTACTTTTGGTCTCGATATTAGCTCAGACGTCTTACACTTGAAATAAAACAAAAGCTACCTGACAAGTAACTTTTTAAACATGATATAGGAACTTGTTTGAAGTCAATAATTTCAAGGTCAGAGCCTGCCATGAATGCTAAGGCTAGTTAACATGGAAACAGTTGTCCTGGGACAGTAAGTTGTTTCTCCACCATTATTACATCGAGTGGCACGTACATGAGGTTGACTGACAGCACTGTGATGCTTCTCCTACCTTGATTTTTTCACAGGTTATCTGTCTCATATTATACTGTCACAACATGGTGACAATTTGAGTAAAAAGCATTTTTTGTTTGTTCGTTTGTTTTTAAATAAAGTTGCATACTTGAAGGACACCTAAAAAAAAATGTGTGGGTCACAGGCTTAACTGGGAGTGGGCCGCCCAAAAATATTCTGTTCATTGATCCGTCTCTGGTTTGTAGGATTTGACGCAGTGGTGCCAATCTGACGGAAGAAAACAGAGTTATATCCGTTGTGTTTATGCCTCTGGAACTTCTGCAAACATGCTCAGTGAAGAAAGCAGAAAAGGCTCCACCACTGGAACATGAACGCCTCCGTGTCTCTCATATTTTATTAACAAGAAACACACGCGTGCTCATGCCCTACATGCCTACGCAGCCGCATCGCTGACTGACGAGTCTGACGGAGCAGGCTGCAAATCGCCGAGCTACTTTTAGCTGGTGCCTTCCCCCCCTTCCCTTTGTGCACTGTGTACAATCCACGGAGCATAAGCAAACGCACTCTAACACACACGAAAAAATTCACTCCATCATCAAACAATGCACAGAGAGAGATGTCATGGGGTTATGGAGGCTGCAGAGCCAGACTAATTTGTTCTCTTGCTTTAGAGTTCAAACAGAACGAAAGAACCGGAGTGAGAAGGGGGAACGCTTGCAGAGCACTGGAAAGCCTCTCATGGAGAGAGACACAGATTAAGAAAAAGCACCCAACCGTGAAATACGTGGTTTTGGCACCGCAGCTTTTAAAAGGAAAATAGAGCCTATATGAACCTTAGTAACACTTTCGACTGGAGCAATGCCAAGGATGGTGACGAGAAATTCCACGAGAAAGCCATATATACATGTTAGAAAGAGGAAGTCAATCCAACTGCCTGATGGAGACGGATGCCGAAACCTGCAAAAGGTTGGATTTTTCACGTGACATCTTGTAAAATTCATGAAATAAAGTCAAACACTCCGAGCAGCAAACTGCTATTGAGGGTCCACAAAGGTTTGCCTGCGTACGTTTTAGGGCCGTTGTTGGATCCATTCCGTGAACAAGCTGTCTGCTGCGCGAGTACGGTTGCCTAGAGGATAATGAAACCTCGGCTCGCCATTGTTTTACTCGGCTGTAGATTGCGCCGAGTTCTCTTCTCTCCTCAAAGGCATGTGCAGATTTTAAAAAAGCCAGTAAAACATTCATATGGCAAGGAGAGAAGCCTGTTCGCAGACAGCTCTGCTGACTGACGGGGGGATTGATTGATTGATTTGAAAGGCCAGATCAGGTCCTGCATGGTGGGTTAGCGGTCTAACATTAGGAGAGGAACAAGACATGAACAGCAAACTAAAAATGGTTTGAAAGGAATCTCTGATGATGTGAGAGAGAAAAGAAAATGTTGATGCAGTTGCATTTTCTCCTATGAGATTTTTCCCTACACATTTAGAACCTAAATCTAAAATTCAAAGCAAATCGCTTTCTTGAAATGAAAATTTTAATAATTTCAAACTATTTGTCTAAAGAAACAAAACTAAGCCTCGGGAAGGGGAACATTAGGGAATTTTCACATCTGTAGTTCCTTCACTATAGCTCAAAAAAAGCAGAGTTTGCTTCTTCTAACTTTTTCTAATGGTTCGGTCTCCACGGAAACCAAACCACGCTCTGGCGTTTAGTGTGTTTATAGCGCAGATGTGAATAAAGGAAATGGATTTTGTTTGAGCTAGTCATAAAATGTAGTTATGCAAATAAACTGTTTCTCAAATTTGTTTCAGGCATAATTATCTGAGATGTATTTATGCTTTATCAAAATGACGCAGGACTTTCGTTTAACCCCACAATGCAACACAAACCTGATGTCAGGAAGGCTGTTTTTATGTATCCTCTGTCGACACAAAAGCAAAATTAATCTTGCAACAGGGAACTTTTTCTCAGTACCTAAGCTGAGTAAATGACTATTTATATTTTTTTTTATTTTCACTAATTTTCAACCACAGCATGTGTACCACTGGCCTCAAGACATTTTGTGGGAAAAATCATAAATTTATAAACAGAGTGGCAGAGCATACAACGACCTCAGAATATTGCTCAGATGTCTACATCAAGTAAATTAATTATATGAGTAGAGTACTCTGTGTAGAAACTGAAAGTGGGATTTTCAGTTTCTTCCATTCACTGTTGCTAAGTTTTACTAAACCTTAGCACAGCTGACAAATGTAAAGTACTTCACTAATACAACTGCAACAACATAATACTGCATATTTTTTATCTTCTAGCTTACATTTCTGTGTTTTTGTCAGAAGCAGTAGCTATGATTTCATCATGCGAATTTCAAGCAAACTTTTAAAATGTTGCAAAAAAAGAGAAAATCAGAAAATGAGCGTGAGGCGTGTTTCCATGTCCTAGTTTAGAGCTAGTCAACCAGGCCATGCAAAGCAGAATTTCATCAGATGTTGACGCTAAGGATGGCTGAAATAAGATGCAAAGAGTGGAACGTAGTATGGAGCACACGTCAGAAAAATGGAGAGTTTTCACTTCCAAGATGGAGGTTTGGATTTTGACATTTTCAGAATGTCGTGCCTCAAGTAAAGATGTAATAATTAGGAAGTTCTCTGTAAGTTAGAATATATTCAGCAAATATATTCCAATGTGAATTAACTCTTTCTCGGAAATGCTGAAAATCACCTCAAACGAATATAAAAGCTTTTTTTTTAATTGATTAATTTTTTTTTTTGTTTTGTTTTACACTTTGCTGTTTCATCCGTTTCTAATGCAATACTTAAAAAAAGAACACTGATGTAAACAACTAGTGCTTCTCTACTGTGATGCATTACTGACTCACTGGCCTTACGTTGGAGAGTTTTTAAATCTCTCTGTAGGATGCCAGTTTGTCATGTCTCCAAACTTCTATTTCTCACATTTCTCTAGACTTCTTCTTCAAAACTAGACAAAATTCCCACATAAATCTTCGTCAAATGAATTCACTCACCCCGAAGAATGTTCAATCAGTATGTTTTCCATCTTAGGCAGCCATTTGCACTAAAACCTCACTTTGGCTCTGTGCATAATATTCCTTCCGTGTGTTTCTGCTCCTTTTTCTTGTGATTCTTTTTTTATATTCCTCTATTTTTTCGTCACGGAAATGAATATAACTTGTCCTGAACTTACAAGCCAAATAATGGCAAATCAGAGAAAGCTGGAACCCCGTGCAAAGACAACACTTCTCCTGACAGAGCTGGAACTTGAAAGAAGCCAAAGCAGCTAAATCTGCCAAATCTGAGCTAATCATGATGTTACAGTGGCAAAGAGAACATGGGAGCGCTGCAGAATGTGAGGGCTGCTGCTGAGATAAACATCATTCATACAAAGTTGTGAGCTAATAACACACATCTGCTTGACAAAGCAGGTGACAGCACTCCGTGGAGAGGCAGACGGGTTGCGTTTAAAGTTGTATGAACACACCCCGTACAAAACACGGCAGCCTCCGTGTTTGCTCCTCCATAATTTGGCATTTCTTAAGAGAGTTATCAGCAGCGCCAAGGATGTCGTTTCAGATGGTAATTAAGCTGCCGCTTGTCATTGAGAGTGTTTGCGTGTGTGTGTGTGTGCACTTTTCAATGAACCCCACACTTTACATAATTAGCAGTCCGTCTCAAGGAGAAGATAGAGGAGGAAGAACGCTATTAAGTGATGAGCTTCACAGATATTGTGGGTTTGGATGAGGGAGTGAGCTAGTCGATTTATTTTCAACTTGCGCACACACACGTGCACACGCACACAGAATCTGCTTTCCTTTGTATTCACTTCTGTTTTATCCAGGCTCCTTTTTACTTTAGCTGCAAATGTGCATGAGTAAACAACTCTCTTCTGCCTCAAGAAGGTGGCAAGCTTTAGTTCATCCTCACTAAACTATTGCACTTATAAAACGTATGCCGGGGGCAAAATGTGGGGGAAAAAATGGACCTCAATCTTCATTTATTCTCAATTCTCACACCCATTCACTCAGCCAGATTCTGCTAGATGCCAAATTATTTTCATTTAAACACTAATACTGCAGAGGAATATATGGTATTTGAACAGGATCTCATGCAATTAGTCAACCTTAATTAAAATTTCACAATTTTCTCTCCCTCACAGAATCTCTCTCCACCTAATAAACGAGCAAAATCAGCCTATTTAACATACGCAAGTGCATCTAACCTGCTGTAGTCTTAACTTCTTATGAGACAGAAAAAGCTAAAAAAGATTCTTTGAACGTCTGTCTGTTGGCAGGCAAAGAGATGAACAGTTTTCTTTACTGGACATCAAGTATCTCTAATCTGATGCCAAAAAATACTTTTAGTGCAATTATTAATTGGCTGTTTGAGAGGCTCAAAAACCATCAAATGCACCTATCAGCTTTGGACAAGATCAATCAGCACACAGGTTGGGATTGTTTGCAACAGGAGATGCATTTTTGGTTATATAGTACCTTACTCATAGTTGTCGATAGAACAGAAAAAAAGTGAAAATGATACACAAGTCATTTTTACTTGCTAACTTTTGTATCTTCATCATCTTCACAGAGCAAAGAATTGTTTCATAGATCATAAACCAATGGAGCTGCTGCAGCTTTCTGAGCCTTGAATGTCAAAATGACAAAATTCCTACGAGAAGCAAGTCATGGACGG